CGTAACCGCTAACTTCAAGACAACTTTCCGTTATTTAATTTCCTGCTCTCCTTCTTTTCCAGGAGTCTTTATTGTTGGCAAGAGATGAAAGGAGTCTGAATAAAACGCGAAGCTGAATGGTATAGATGTAATAAATGTAAAAAATTTCCTTATGCTGAACGCATGATGTTTCAGTTACAACAATTCGAAAATATTTCATAGCACAAAGATTCTGAATGCACGTAAACATCCCTCCGCAATTTGTTTTTTACGAGAAGCGAAGCCATTTGGATGCATCCCCTTTCCTTTCCCTCCCTTTCTTCTGCTCCCTCCCTTCACGACCAACATATATGTAAATGCTGACCATATGGCAAGAACATATCTCAGATGGTTGAAATGAACAGCTGAATCGTCTACGATGCGTTAAATGAATAGTTACAAAAAAAAAAAATAAAGCCTGAAACGAACGATTTTATCCTGCTTCCTAAGAAAGTTTCCTATTGTTAGGTTATTTTTAATATTTTCCATAACATTACATTTCATCATCTTTTTTCTGCGTTTTTTGCTTCACTTCTTACTGCTCAAGTCTTCTCCTCAGTCTGTTCGTCAATTTGAAGCCATTAGCAATGCTGCGGAATTGGCACCAGTGCATATACAATGTCTACTAAAAATTTCCGAGAATTGGTAACTATTAAAAATTTCCGTTTATAAAATACTTGCTGAACGCATCAGAAAGCCGATGAAAAAGCAGGAGGAAAGAAACAGAAAATACAAGGCAAACTGCAGCACGAAGAAAAATTCGAGAATAGGAGGGACAAAGGGTTTACTTACCGTTGTTTCAACATCCAGACAAAAATCAACATGGGGAGCCACGTAGATATCCCAGTAGAACTCGAATAATGCATTGAACAAATTCATGCATTCATCGCAGATCACTGAACGATTTGTTCGAAGAGCGGAGGAATAATTCGAGACGCACCGCCTCCACGCATACAGCTTATTCTGGAATTCTACCGTGTTATTGTGATAGCTGTATTCCGTGCTATTCGTCTCGAATTTCCAATCGATGATCACGCACGCTGCAAACGCACAAACAGCTTTATTTTTTATGCTGATTAGCTAGTGCTGCGATGACAAAAGGTTGCGACGAAAGCTGCATTATCAACTGATCAGCCCGCCACGGAATCCTGCCGCAAGGGAGAGACAACAGGATTTTACGGAAGGACTTGATTGCCATGCCAGTGCGAAGATGCGTTTTTTGCAGCTATGCAATGCAAAAAAGCATATTGACGAGGGTTGTCTGTATGTTCGTGTTTGCGTCCGTCACACACTTTCATCTCAAGACCTATAAAAGTTGCGGGCCTGAAATTTCGGCAACTTAATCTACATGCACATACGGCCCCACTCCCTAAAATGGGCGTCATTATCCGCGTGGTACCCGCGTACGGGTCCGCCAAAATTTTTTTCGGGTAAGTTCACAACTCGGAGATCTGAAAAGCTAGAAAGCTGAAATCTTCCCCATCCAAGTGGATATTGATGTACTGAAACTCAGCCCTCGGATGTGTGTGATAGCCACGCACGGGCCCGCCAAAGTTTTTTTGGCTATGTTTATAACTGGGGAATTTGAAAGGCTAAAGGAATGTAATTTTTAGAGGATATTTCCCGTTCACCTAAGTCTCACTGAGCTCAAACCCAGACTCCGGGTACACGTGGTAACCACATAAGGGCCCGCCAAATTTTTTTCGGGCAAGTTGCTAACTCAGGAGCTTGGAAAGCTAGAAAGCTGAAATTTTAAGGCGGTGTTTCCTAATGGTTCTGGCGGCCTGTCTTAATTTTTTTAGCTAGAAGCATTTGCCGGAAGAACCGGTGCTGGTGGTGACAAAAACTGTGGGGAACTATGCAAAAAACGCATCTCTGCACGGGCAGCCCTTACGTTGGCCAATTATTTGCATTTGCCACGCAGATTATTGTTATTAAGTCGCACAGTTTACGGTAGACATTTGCAGCTAAACGCATCAGAAATGTGATCTTTGTTTTATTTTTACGGTTCCGCCTCGCAATCTCAGGTAGAGCTCTGCGTGTGCTCCACCGCACTATCGAGGAAATCATCTGAGAAGTAACGGTATTGATACCTAATCGCACTACCCATTAGATGTGAAAATTGCCTTTGTGTAAAACCATCCTATCCTTCGTCACTATTTTCAAGATCTTCATCGTTTGTTTTCGCTAGCTCTGAAGCTAAACGTGACCTAGTTTTACTGCAGCTGTGCTATGCTAGAAAGTCGGCAAATGTGATGTTTTTCATTTAATATGTAATTTTCGAATAGTCATGCGTGAAACAGTTGCTTGATATACGGGCAGGATTGCAGAGCTCATTCTGTGGTTCAACAATTCTCAGGCACTTCTTTGGCGTAAACGTTTGCATAAAGATTACTTGCTTGATACTACAAGATATAGACAACTGGAAAATGCTGTATGTGACTTTTTGAGCTGCAGTTTCACGGCACTGTAATGGTCAGTGCTGCTGCTGCTTTGCATTGCTTCACGTACATTGCTGTTTCCCTCACAATTTCTTCAGTTGCTGCGCTAATTCCTTGGCCCGAATTATTATTACTGAACCAGTTGTCAGAAAAGCAAAATTGTAAAACGGGTAAATTGGCTGTCCCGTAAAGTACACAGCAGCTTGCCAGATGCAGTTTACGCTGTCGGGAACTTAAATGCTTTTGTAATGCATCCGCCGTGCAATGCGAGCATCCATGAGAAGAGTGCTCATGGAAACACGAGAAAGCAGTGACACTGACGTATTAACAGAAACAAAGGGACATTAAAAAACCCTCCCTTTACATCGGTATTGTTGAGGCGGACCGTGAGGTGACCAGATTATTAAGAAGATGTAACAAACAGCTACAAGCCTTTCTTTCAGTTTTGTCAAAAATGGGGAATTTTTGGTGCACAACAAGAAAATGCAGTTCGCTTGAAAGGCATTAAGGGGGATGCTTCCAGTACTTAATGCTCTGCGCATAAATTTTGCAGAAAAAGCATCCTTCGACTTGTTGCAGATAAAATGCATTCTTTACGAGACTTCTTTGGGTTTCATTTTCTCTGTCAGCTTGCAGCAAATTTGACATTGTCATTGCTGCAACAGGGCGCTTCAATCCAAATCACCTCAGTGATCGCAAGTACGCCTGGCTCTTCCTTGACTGCGTTCCCGTCCTTCTCAACACCAGATGAATAAGTGAAATTTATTTGTTACTGGTTTTTCCTCTCCAATCCGATCTTTGAATTCGCTTTGGCTTACTGTTTGCTTCTCTTCCTTGCTGTTCACATTTACAATTCTCCCCCTACGCAATCTTACTGATTCGTTTTGTTTCCTCTGTACTGCAGATCCGTCTCTCGGCATGGTTGCTTTGCTTTGAGATTTGCTACCCTTTCTCTTTTTTTTAATATTTCTCATCGCACTCTGTGCATTTTTTCTTCGCCACCCTGTTGGGACTTAGAGATATGCTTGTACTCCTGATCCAGGGGGATAACCGCATGTGTTCAGCTCTTTCCTCGCTTTTCACACTGATACATACTCACACATGTACACACAGACAAATACAAGTACACACACAGACAACCTCTCGGGGACATGCGTTTTGCACTGCACAAATGTAACAAACCCACAAAAATGGCTTACATTCGCAACGTGATTGTTGCCAGATATTGTGAGTTAATGTGTTTGACACTTCGGCAACGTAAGAAATGAGGTAATTCTCGAAGATCACACTGCTACACGTCGTATTATCTCGTGAAAAAACATTTTTCTGGAAAATGTATTTTAAATCGGCCAATCAGGAAGGACAACCAAATGTCCGCTACCAAAGGTACGCATAAGTATTTGAGGTACGCATAAGAAATGCCTTTTATTAGTATTTTGTGAAAACTTGTTTATCCGTGATCCAATTCCGCATGAAAAGGAGCGCCCCCCTCCCCTCCCCGCTTACAAAGGTTTGGACTTCTCATATCACTATTTTCGGACTCCCTGAATCATGATGCATTAAACACTAGATTACTGATGCATTAACCACTAGATTACCGTACCCCTGCAAACCCAAATCTTTACAAAAAGGAATTCTGCTCAAGGCACTGATTTTCGTGGTTCTTGCGCGAGCTACAGTACCGGCTTCCACGTACCAACGTCATTTGTTGTTATCAACAATTGTGTTATGTGGCCCTACCATCACATTAAACTTCACTGTTTCCGCACTGTAACATCTCCGGCTCGGTAAAAAGCTTGACAGTGACATGCCTGCTTAAATTCAGCTAAACAAAAATTACATTAAATATAGCTAAACATCCATAACCCACCCATCTTTCTTGGCAAAGTCTTAAACCAACAAGGTGGACTGGAAGTGTTGTCTCTGCGACGCAGCGCTAATGACTGAACATGGCAATTCTTAAAAGTCAACAGTCAACTTGGT